TTAATAATTGGTAGATGCACCTTATATTGATTCCCTATCTTCCTCTTTTTTAAGATATTGGTAATTTCTAAATTCCTTTGTAATCTGAAAGTCGGAGGAATGAGTAAGACTCTGAAAAAGCAGATTTTCTCTTTCTTTAGAATCCAAATTATTGTCATCCTATTTTATCACTGTGTCTCAAATTCCTCATCTGTGAAATAAGGACAATAAGAGGGTTCAAATCAGATGAAATAAGTAAAAGCCCCGGAAGGTACCAGGCTAAATTAGCAACTAGATAAAAGTTATCTACTATTCTTACTACAATTATCCCCACTCATTTTCTGTTATTATTGAGGAAAACTCATTCACGTTTGCTACATGTTATATATACATCACTGACTTATATATAAAAACCCTCATCCGTTTATGGCAAAATGTTCCAAAGCTCCAAAAGATTCAATAAACTGGGGAGCAAAGGGAGGCTATAATGTCAATGCCAGATTCTAATCCTATTTCTGCCATTAAATTGCTACATGACTCTGGGCAAATGGAGTCTCAATCCCCACTTCTGAAAAAGCATACCTTGGATATGAAGATCAAATAAGATAGTACAAGAGAAATTTTTCTTTTAAGTACTACAGTATCCTGTCATGAGGAAGATACCTCTATCTGGGTACAGTTTACAAGATACTAACTAAAGAGATAAATGGCCATGGTCTCTTACATTCTTAAATAACAGCACAGTGATAAGAATCACCACATAAGCTATTTGCTAAATATTCTCCAATATCACCAAGTCATAACTATTTTTAAAATATTTATACACTGGAATATATAATATTTCAAATATTCCTGCAAAGCGAAAGAAAGAGAAAAGTGGATACAAAAGTATTCTCAGGCATTTATCATCAGCTGCTAAAATCCTCACTTCATGGCTTCAGCATAATTTTTATTTTGATGCAGAACCGTTTTATTGGTCCTAGGCTTTTGTTTAGTGTAAACACAATGTATATAAACACACACACACGTGTGTATGAATAATGGTAACCAACTGATTTTCATTGCTAGTTTCTCTAATACTCTAAGACAAATCCAATGTTCTTATCAAATTGCATACTACAGTTCACAAGCTTTTAAATCTTAATTTATTGAAAAGAAAAAGATGGGGGATTATAACATTGCCTTTGTACATTTCAACTAAATTACCAAACAAAAAGCCACATATTTTTGTTATCAATGCTTAATAACATGGAGAGATACAATGTATATTTCTGATGACATTCTTTACAGAATGTCTCCTAATGAGATATAGGAAATATAGTAAAAAATGAGTAGTAAAACTCATTTTTTAAAGGAATAAACTCCTAAAAAGCAGTGTATAAGCATTTTCAAATAAGATGCCATTAACACAGCAGCAATACTCTCCATTATAAAGAAATCCAGTTATGAAGTCTCTTATAAAGTTTATCTTAATGACACTCTCTAATTTACTAATGTGTAAGTTTCCGTTTTCATTTATTTAAGCTTTCTGAATGTAGGGGGTAATTACATCCTACAAGACACTACAGACTTTAAAATATCTAAATGAAATTTAAATGTAAATGAAATTTAAATGTAAATTTAAAATATCTAAATGAAATTTAAATGTTGATTTTTTAAAAAGCCATAGAGAAATTATTTTTTATCAATTATAATAGTTAAAATTGATTAAAATTTTAAGAAACTAGTTTCAAAATATAAGTAATGTGAAACAAGGGACAGCAAAGATAGAACACCATTCTGTATAAGGGTTTCTAATATTTGAGGTTAAAATCAAAAGATAGATAAAATGTGAGAACCCTATCTTTCTTTATATTTGTTTATCATCATAATATTTAAATACCAACTACTTTTAATATATTTTTTTCACTGTGTTCCCAGAAAACATACTAGATCTAGTTCCATAGGCCTAATATATGTACATCCTTGCAGGTATAGCTTTTTAGTAATATGGGGGAAAGTAAAATCCTACTGATCTTAAAGAGTAACTTACATGCAATAGGAAATAAATGAATTCATGTTAGAAGCCTTATGAAGGTTGTTCTCAAAGTTTTCAGTTAGTCTCACTGACAACCATATTACATTAGGAAACACTCTAAAGCGGGTCACTTATGCTTCCATTTACTGCTGATGAACTCAGTCACAGGAGATGGCTTTTTCAGCCATCCAGAACATTACACCAATTTGTTAGAAGTTCACAGATACAAAGTCTTCAGTTGGTACAAGTGTATCTCACTGGTTTACAAAACTATGTGTAGAAAGAATAGTCTTGGGGCCTGAGTCAGAAATCACTAAATAAAATCACTCTGCAGACTCCATGGCACACAGGAACCCCTCGAATTATTTCTGTTAAATGGACAAAAATGTGCTTCCAATGACTACAACTGTTTGAAAGGAAACTATATGAAACACTATATGAAAAAAATACTTATAACGGTATTCTAAAAATATCTTTAAATGAGATATTTGTAAAGCACTTGGAAATGCCTGGCCCATAGGACGTTCTATATGTATCTGTCATTACTCTTGTCCTATAATCTTAGTTTGGTTCACAACAATCTTCATAGCTCCATTAGTATAAGCCATCACTACCACTGATAAAAGGAACTCAGACACATGCACACCACTAGTGAGGCTGCAGTTCCATTACTTTTATATGTGGAAGAAAGAGTACCTAGGATAACCACCATTGTTTTATAATGAAGGTTAATTCAGTAAGCATAACATACAAAGTAAATTCAGCCTTATAATTTGTCCTACCAACAAATTTATCCCTCATAAGCCAATATGTCTTCTATCGATTGTATTTATATAATTCAGAACTCCACATAATATTCATGTTCACTTGTATCTAAGAAATTCAATTAAAAAGAAAACATTGAACTCCCAATTGATAACTGACCTGCAAAGTTTCCCTTCACACTAAAGTAAACTGTAATATAGGAGACTGCTAAAACATGTTTGGGATTTACTCTCTTACACTTTGATTGCTGACCACAACAGAGATGAAGACTGAGGTAGTTTGAAAATTCTGTGAGGATTAAATCAGACTATATTCTTCATATTCTCTAAGGAGTAAACTTTGGGCTGTGCGAAGCACCCTCAACTTCCAAGGGCCAAGAACAACAACTGCTGCAATGAAAGAGCAGAGTAGTTAGGGTTAAGGAGGTGGTTGCCTTCTACAATGAAACTAGCTTGAATTATCTATTTGTTGGCATTGTTAAAGTCAACTCTATTTCTTTGACTTAGGCAGTGGAGCGTTTGATAAGATACAAAGATTTTTAAAATAAGATGTCATTTTAAATTAAACACACCAGGGATACTCTCCATTTCAAGGGAACCCAGTTATGAAGTCTCTGATAAAAGATTACCCGAATAATGATCCCATAATTTACAAAATCATAATTCAAAATGAATCATGGTTTAATAGGGAAAGGGTCTAATTTATACAGCACATAAGTGATTAAGATATACCACAAATGCTAATATAAAGTAACTTAAAATTGATACAATCACAACTGCATTAAGGGGTTTGGCTACGATGTAACCATGTTGTTTAACTGAAGTGAACAACAAAAGCAAAATCGAATACTTCATACACATCTCAGGGGATGTTCATAGCAAAGAGCCATTTAAATAAAACTGGGGAACAAGCAACAGAGATGAGTTGTAGCTGTAATATAAGATGCTTTTACTTCTCACTGCAAACAACTGATTAACTGCTAGAAAATAACAGAGGTGTTTTTTTAACTATAAGTAGATTTTTTTTTGAAGTAATAAACTAAATCAATTACTGTCCAAAAAGGAATGGTTGCAGTAAAGTAATATGGTATAGAGGAAATTTAAAATGCATTTCATCAGTGGAGGCAGGTAAATTAGCTTCCTATACACTAAAATAGTTAAAGAATCTTCATCTTAATTTTAATTACTCAAATAAAATCTACATTAGGACTTCATTTCTTCCTTTGTGGTTAATTCCGCATCGTTTCACATGGTTGTAGTATTTTCACAAGGAAATCCCTAATTTACTGAAATAGTTTTCTAATATAAAAACTAAGCCAAAGTATGTAACTTTTGAAGTAGTGGGGGGAAAATTTCCTTTTTTGAATAAAAATGAAACAATCTCTAAATGTAAACAAAAAAGACAAAAGTATTAAGCTAATTTAAAATGTCCTTAGAAATATAAATGGAAAATTATCTTTTATAAAAATATTTTACAGCAGAAGAGAATTATAGGGGAAGGCATACAGAGTCTCTTTTTTGAAGGTTTTGCTTTAAAACCTATTTCTGAGTAAGATGGAAATAATTCCAAAAAATTCCTTTTATTTTCACTTTAATTAGGTTGGCAGAATTATTAGAAATACTGAAGGACAACAGATAAGGAGGGAAAAAAAAAGTGAAGAATCTCTCCCCACCCCACAACTAAAATAATATTCACAAAATAGAAGTATTATTTATATGTCACTTTCTTCCATTTCATTAGTGTTTAAAATTGTGGGTAGTCACTGATGCAACGAAATGATTAAGGCATATTAAAACTGTAACTTCATACTATCCCAAGTGATATAGTTTCTTATAATATTAACTTTAAAATGCACAGAAAATAATCATAGATAAAATGCTGTATTATACTGCTCTACACAGTACAACAGCCTAATTTTGTCTCAATAAACAGCATATGTTTATAGCCTAAGTGGGTCATGACATAGCAATAATCAGATCCTTATAACAAATGATTTGGATAAAAAATATGTATACATTATTATACAATAATTAGATCATCCCAAGAAATGATTTGGAGAAAAAATAAATTTTATATATATACATAATATAAAATATATGTTTTAAAATATTTTTATATATTTTATATATATATAAAATGGATTTGAAATGTGGATGTGAAGCAATCTGACAGTTAAAAGTTACTAAAGGGAAGAAATAATCATGTCTGCAATTCAGGCATTACTAGATATATGTGTTACCTCAACAATATCCGAGTTGGTTCTGCTTTCATGAGGTTCATTATACTCTGTATACTTGAGAAGAACTTTGTCCATGTCAGTGCTGGCATACTGAAACAGTTTGTTAGAGCTGTTGAAAATGATGAGTGCTATTTCACAGTCACAGAGCACACTAAGTTCATAGGCTTTCTTCATTAATCCAAACTTTCTCTTTGTAAAAGTAACCTAGACGATCAAAGAAAAAAAGGTGTATTTTTAGTAAAAGCATTAGCAGTACTTGAATACAGGCTACCTAAAGATGAGTCCTCTTTTAATCCTGAGTCAGATTCCACAGCTGAAAAAGGTTTGTAGCCTCACGTTCCACATGAGCCTCTTACTCCCCCATCTGCCACAAGACTACAGTTCCACATTTAACTTCTAATTCCTCATAAAGCACTCTCCTGAGGAAGTTTTCCTTTATCCCTGGCTGCCAGTCTGCTGCAGAAGGCAAAAAACAAGAGGACACAGTTGACCACTGGGCCCTTATCATCCAGTTTAAAATTCACAGTCTAGGGTCAACAAATTCCCCAATGTCCTCAAATTTTTCTTTGAATATTCTTCCAGTTTCCAACTGAAACCTGTCGCCTGAAGTCCTCTCAAACAGAGACCAATATTTGTTGGTCTGTTTTAAATATTATATCCACTATGCTCAAGAGCGGGAAAGATAAGTAAGTCCTTTTTGCTCTGTATTCTATCTTACAAGTTATTTTTCCTTCCTTCCCCTTCAAAAGCCCCAGGTATTTTGAAGCTCACACCATGAAACTTAAACCACTCAATAACTGTACTCATAAAGGGCACCATGTAACCCCCTCATGTACTGATATCTTTCACCTGCACTTCTCTTTCCAGCCCTACTCTTATATCTGGTGACTTCAGTATCCCAGTTTAAAAAAAAAAAAAAATTGTTGCAAAAACATCCCCCAACCTCCAAACGATCCACATCCACCACATGTTAAACACCCACTCCTACTGTCACACCTTTAACTCTGCCATCACCAATAATCACATCACCTCCAAAAATCTCAATTTCATGTATTCCACTTTGCCTCCTATCTAGCTCTCCTGTTTTGTATTCTCTCTCCAGAAATTCTTTAACCTGTATCCAGTCCTGCAATCCACTTACCTCACCCCTTTGTTACAGTCTATTCTCAGGTCCTTTCTTCCCTCACCGAGGTGCATGTGTCCCTTCAAATGACTATGCTCGTATCCTTTGGATAACCAAGTGATATTTTTAAACATACATCAAATTGTTTAAGTAGAAGTTTAGAGCTTTTATTCTGCACTGAAAGTAATATTCAAACTCATTAAGTAAACAAAATAAATTATCTGGCTTCAATCTATCTATCTGAAGTTATTTCCCATCACTCTCCTTTACATCCATTAAGCCTCATTCATGTGTTTGTGCGTGTGCTTATGTGCATGTGTGTGTGTCTTCCTTAACCAACAGCTACTTTCCTCCTTGGGAACTTTTCTATTTTCCCTCCTTATGGAACACTCTTAACACTACATGTGCCTAATGGTTCCTTTCCTCACCTTGTGAAAATAAATCTATTATTAATTAATCTTTAAAAAAATCCTTACAATATAAATACACAAATATATATATTTTATATAAATGCATATATATGGAAATCGTTTTATACTTGCCTCCTTACTTTCCCCTGAACCAATATAAACCCCTTAATCAGTGTTTTTGACTTAGTATTTTTCATTCCACATTTTTATGCAAGATCATATAACCATATTCATATATACATGTATACATAATAAGGGATTTTGTCAGCATTTGATAAAACAGGGACTCTATCAATACTCTTTATTTTATTTTAGTCATTCATCCACACCTTGTTGATATGCCTCTAAGTCAAATGGTATACTAATGGACTCTTTCATAATTTTTTCATGTAAATGTTACAACTGTTTTGTTAGTATGAGAGATGTAAAATAAAAATCTCATTTCTTTAATATACATTTCCTAACTAGTAATAGTTAGATATATTTTTCTTATATTTGTTGTCATTTGGGATTTGCTTTCTCTATATTGCCCATCTTTTGACCATTTCATACTTTGTGATTTTTTACTTATCTAAGTAAAAGCTCCTTAGATATATTAACTATGTTTCACAAATACTTTCCCAAATTTCCCACTTATATATTAACTTTGTTTACATAATATTTGTCATTAAAAAGTTTTAAGCTTTCATTACTGATTGTGACACTGTTTCTTAGAATCCTGGCATTGTACCATACCACTTTAAGAATATAACGAATATAAGAATACCCTTATTAAAACACTGAACTTGAAATCAGTTGTGTCTTGAGATGCACCTAGATGTACCTGCTGTACTAAAATTCTGAGTTTAGCAAAGGTTTAGTCAGAAATGTTTTCCAATACTTCTAATACTGAAGAAGAGAAAGAAAATGACAATCAACAAAGCATTTATTCCAAGAATAATTCTTACTCTAAATTAAGGCTTGCAAATTAAGTGAGCTATGAAAAAGCATTAAAATTGAGACAAGTAATGCTGCTTCACAATATCCTTTAAGCATGACTGGAGAAAATTTGTTAAAATAAAAACTATAGGGGTGCCTGTGTGTATCAATCGGTTAAGCATCTGCCTTTGGCTTAGATCTCGATCCCAGGGTCGTGGGATCGAGCCCCACATCAGGCTCCCTGCTCAGCCAGGAGTCTGCTTCTCCCTTTACCCCTCCCTCTGCTCATGTTCTCTCTCTTTCTCTCAAATAAAGAAAATCTTAAAACAAAACAAAAAACTATAGTTCACTATCAGTAAAACAACAACAACAAACTATAGTTCACTATCAGTAAAAAGAGTATGCCAGTCCCTATTGTCCTTTCCAAAAATACGTATTCAAAAATATTTCTTCTAAGTTATCAATAAGAAGGAGTTCAAGGTGAAGAAAGGAGTTAGTAGAGGAAGGGACTCAATTTATAACAATTTCCTCTCTATTCCTCCAACTTACTACAGGTCTAAAGGAGCTTTTCCAGTAATTAGAAAAATGTGTACAAGAACACACTTATATTTCAATGATGACACCAAAGATATAACATTGAAAACTAGAAATATTAATATTTCACTTTCAACTTTCATAAATGAAGTATTTTTCATTTTATCTATAGCATTTAGTCTATTCTTAAACACTGGTTTACTGCTAGCAACTTATATGAAATTAATAATATAAAATTAACTTTATATTCTTATAAACTATTTTCTGTCATCCCCTTATTTTGAAATAATTTCAAAGTTACAGAAAATTCTCAAAAACCATATTTTTCATTTATCTTCAACCAAACTCCCCACTGTTAACATTTTACCATGACTGCCTTCCCTAAATAAAACACACACACACACACACACACACACTTTTTCTTTTCTGAATCCTTTGGACAAACTAAAGTGAGGTTATAAGGTCCCTTTGCCCCTAAATATTTTCTTAAAAACAAAGAAAAACACAATTATCAAAATCAGAAAATAAGGATATAGCACTATAATCTATAAACCTTATTCAAATTTCTCAATTATTCCTAATTTCCTTTTATCCCCCTGCTAGTGCAGGATCCAATCCAGAATTAGCTGTTGCTTTCTGAAAACTGCAACCTCTTTAATCTGAACCATTTCCTCAGTCTCTGTCTTTCAGGACCTTCGTACTTGTGCAGAATACAGGCTATATTTATATTGTCATATATCTCTCAATTTGACTTTGTCTAATGTTTCTTTCTGATTACCTTTAGACTACATTTTTGGCAGGAACAACTTCAAAGTGATGTTCTGTCCACAATCTCTCTCATGAAAATCCACATGACATCTATTTGTCCCAACTGGTATTGTTAACTTGGTTAAGGTAGTGTCTGTCAAGATTTTTCCCCTATAAAGTTACTATTTTCCCCCTTGTAATTAGTATCTTGTCAAAATTTCTATGTAAATATCCTACTTATCAAACTGATTGTAACATCCATTCACGATTCTTGCCTAAAAATTACTATGGTGGTTGTCAAATGGGGATTTTCTAATTTCATAATACATTATATCTACATTTACTACTAGTAGTTGCATTTTATAAGACAGGTTGCTTTTCCTCCATGTATGCATTTACTCATTCATGTCCGTATCAACTTACAGGCTACCTTATTCAATGCATTATAATCAATTAATACCTTTTTTTCTTTTGATGTTTAAATTGTTTTTGATTTTACCAATGAGAGATCCACTATGCTATCTCCTGTGTCCATCTGCCATGTTCCCAATATTCTCTGAACTTGCAGGCACAGTGAGATGCTCCAAGGAATTATATGTAAGCTGGACCTCTCTAACCCACCTCCCTTTTCAAACACCTTCTCCATAACCCCCTGAACAAACTTATCTCATTTCCATTCACTTAGTTATCTTCCTGCTTTCCTTCAGTAATCTTTTTAAGATTTCACTTGAATCTAGTCTTCTGTGGTCACTGTGTAATTTAATCTTTGTTTTGCTATAATGTTATCTTTTTATCTTTCTTTCTGGAGTTTAATCACTTTGTTTCATCTATACCTTTGAAAAAAATCCAACTCTATTCCTAGTATTTCCAAATTCTGAATGATGATTTTTTCATCTGTCACATTTCTAAACACTTATTTATGGAGAATGGTTTCAGCCTGGAGTTATCATTTTACAGGTTTTTTCCACTTTTCCATTGTTTGGGGACAACAACTTCATCACCTGAACAGCTATAAATCATCTTTTTGTTTTCTTCTTTATAGTAGTTGGCATAGGTGAAAATTACTGGCCTCACTGAATTGCAATGGAAACAACTGGCAGTGGGACAATGGACCATTCAGTATGGTCTCTTTAATGGAAGCTTTTTTTTTTTTTTAAGGGATCAGCAGTAGGGAGAGGAGTTCTGTATCATTCAATATATTTTTTTGTACTTTTTTTTTTTATCTTGAAGGATTTCTGTATCTCTTCCCTTCTTTTCCATTCAAAAAACATTTTACAAAGATTACCTCTGTCTTCCTTTATAAAAGCCCTCTTCTCCTCCAAAGAGTTACCTTCCCAAGACCACTTCCTTGAATATCACATAAATTTTAAGTCCTTTACCGCTGGTCTGTTTGATCTACAAGTAGTATTTTTCAGAATTTTTGTACTTATTAGGATAGACTTCCCTTTTTTAGTAATGATTTCAAATCAACT